ATGTCTTCGCCACCAGGAAAAAAAAAAAAAAAAAACGGAGCACATTAGTTGCCACATTGATGTCCGTTTCCATAGAAACGTGTATTCCCACACGGCATGCGGCGGATGCTGAAGAGCAAGGAACACGTCGCACAACAACCGCGGCGACCGACGCCGAGCACGAGACGTGACATCGGCCATCAGCGCGCAAAGCCACCAAGCGAGCCGACAGCGCGCGTGGAGGTGCGCCGAATATTGCGAGGGAGTGAAAAAAACGACAAAGGGTCCATCCACGCGGTGTCCATTTTAACGAGGCTCTGCCGTGCGCTGACGGCAACGAGCTCTCTTTTGAACTTGGCTGCTTGACGATTCCTGTTGTGGAATTGATTCGAGAAAGGCTTCCTCTTCCGGCGCCGACAAGCAACATCAAAGTGGCTCCCTCAGTCAGAAGATGGAACGCCGAGACCCCGCCCACCCCTCCAATTTTGACCCACTTTACCTGAACGACGGAAAGACTTTGACATCTGCGGCACATGGTTTTGTCGTATGAGTGGCATTCAGATTGCTCATTATCAGTGATGTTGTTTTGTGGGGAATACGACGACGACACACGACAGCACGACAAGCTTTCTCTCTCTCGCTCGCCCTCTTGCACTTCCTCTTTTTCGATCTCTCTCTCTCTCTCCTTTCCCTCACTCTGTGTGGCACCCTATAACCTTTTTGCTCCCTCCCTCCGTCTCTCTCTCTCAACTGCCCCCCCCCACCGTCAGTCACTGCCTCTCTCTTTTACTCTCTCAATCCCCCTTTTTATTGCTTCCTGTTTTATCTCGCTCGCTGTTACTCCTTTTTTCTTCTTTCCTCTCTCTCCATGGCCCGCTTTTTTCTTCTTTTTTTATCGCTTTCTCTCTCTTGCACTCTCTGTGGTGCTTTCTCTCCCCTTTTTTCTCTCATTTCTTATTGCTTGCGCTCTTTTCATCTCTCTGTCTCCCTCCTTTTTATTGTTCCCTCAATCTGGCTCCCCCCTTTTTTGTCTTTCCGTGCTCTCTCTTTCTCCCTCCGTCTATTGTTACGTCTTGCTCTTCTTTTCTCCCTTTCTCTTCCTTTTTCTCTCCCCCACTTCACCACACCCTGGCCCTCTCCGTCTTTTCCCTCTCCATCACTCTCTCTTGCCCCCCTGGCTCCCATTTTTACTGCTCCTCCTTTCTGTCTCTGCCTATTCTGTCATTCCTCGAAACATTTGAGGCAGACGGCGGCACCACTCGCAGAGGTTTTTCTTCCTCAGGGTTTTTTTTTTTTGCCTCTATAGCTCAGTGCCTGCTCACGCGGGATTCAGTTGGCCTCCTCGCGTACGAGGGGAGTGCTCCGAGACCTTTTTGGTGATATAACCTTTGTTGGAAATTGGCGTCATCTAAAATCAAAGTGAACCGGGCAACCTTCACCGATAAGCCAGCCGCTCGGGATAGTAAGATGTCAGCAAACGGGTCAAAAATGTTCAGTGCCGTGAAACAAAGCAGCGCGGTGGCTCTCCAAACGAGATTTGTTACGCGGCGTCTCTTCCTCCTTTCTTTTTTTTTCTGAGTGTTGCTCAAGTGTTTGTAACAAAACAAGATTTGTGACGCGGCGTCTCTTCCTCCTTTCTTTTTTTCTGAGTGTTGCTCAAGTGTTTGTAACAAAGAGGCCTATTTCACAAGAATGTGCTGACTGCGGGGGGGGGTTTAGCTCTCCAGATGCTTTAATTATCGCAGCGTCCGAACTAAAAATAGCGCGAAACGTGTTTATGCAATCGGCGCTGACAATCGCCATACTTTACCAAAATGAATGTATCACATCACAAGTGACTAGTACTGCGCAACCAGACAACTGACAGTTATGACGCTGGTAAGAAAGAACCAGGACAAAACGTGACAAACCAAAAACGTCTGCAAAAGGGCAACGACAAAATAACGTACATCGCTTGTCATAAAAAGAAAAGAAGTCCAATTACGAGAACGATACAAAAGAGCACTAGGATCAGGGCCGTCTTATATTCGGGCCAATACGGTATTTTGTGGCATGCAGTGACATTTTTTTTCCACCAATAAAATATTTGCCTTGGCTCAAGGAAGGACGGGAAACAGCGGATACAGGACAGCTTGTGATCACTTCAAAGCGTCAAAATATCATCCAGTCTCTTCCCCACCGGTGTTTTGTCTCTTTTGAGTCACGACAGCACGACACTCGGTCATGCTGAAAACCGGACCCGTCGATGAACTCCACTGGCGGTCTCTAAAGACCCCCCGGGGGCCAGACGCCAGCCACATTTATTGGATCTGACAAAGACTTCCCCTTTGAGAGAAACTGTTTAGCCATCTCAAACAAGAGCGGTCGCTGTCGGGAAGAAGGATTGCGGCGTGATCAGCCGGGGACACTCGGCAAACAGAAACGACACGAGATGAACAGCCTCATCGCTCATCGTGCAGCGGATGGAGACGTCTCGTGTTGTAGGCCACTTGAGTCGTTTGCCAGCACGCCGGGCGACGAAAGCAATTCATGGTGGGGACATTTTTTTTGAATGATCTTTTTGGCCCTATGATATTTGCCAATGGAAGAAGGGCCGTTGGGATGAGTTGTTATTTTGTTGCAATAATAATAATCATTTTCTATTATATATGTATGAAGTATGCAACTTCAGCAGAATTTTATTTATTTTTTTTAAGTTTGTGCAGCACCGTGAGGGAGCGCTTCGCACATCTGCCGCACAAACAATTTGAATCACATCATCATAATCATCATCTGATGATCAAAATAATATGATGAGGTGATGACCCTGGACATTTGGATGATTTTCACAGTCAGAACAGCCCTTTGAGGGAAACCGCGACGACGTTGCGAGCCGCAGGGAGAATGACTTTGACACCCCTGACTGAGCATTTGGAAGCATGCAGGAAATCCTTCTGCTGACTTGGCAAAAGGAATACATTGGTTTGCTAAAAACTGCAAGAAACAAGAGTTGGGGTCAGCGTTTGCCAGACGGCTACGCCACATCTCGCCTGATCATGACCAACACTGCACACACACACACACACGCACACACACAATTAGCCACGCAGCACAGTGTGCACTGATTGCCGACCAAAATCAGTTTGCGCAATCACATCTGCAACAGCAGGTGATAAGCTTGTCATTCAAGAGCCCGTGAACTGAATTCAGAGATTTGTTTCGAAATACATGATGTATGTTTGAAAAGAATTGCTGAAAAGATGCAAAGACTGGGAACGATGTCGCGCTCGGTTGTTAAGATCGGCCGTGAAACTGTTTGTCGCCATTTCGGTTTTGCTGATTTTTGTTGGGGGAGGCTTGGCGAAAACGAGGTCCATTGTTGCACTTGGCCATCTGGCATGATTCAACACAAGTCATATTTAGAGTGCCTCATCGTTGCATGTGAGCACACACGTGTCACCCAGAGAAAGGAGTAGAAGTGTGAAGAGGGGCGAAATTTCACTCTGGAGCGTGTCGTCGTCACAGCATAGAAAACCCTCACAAACGACCTAGTTTTCTAGCCACCAGGGACTTGAAGTGGATACATTTTTGCAGCTCAAACATGGAGCGATGGGTTGTGTGAGAAAGATGCTGGATGAAATAGCATCTATTTTTTTCAGGTTGTACAAGTGGTATTTTATTTGACCTATGAGCAGGGTGTGGTTTGTGTTTTTGAGAGCAGAGACAACGACTTGATTTTTAATCCCTGTTTTATATTGCATTTTTTTTTTACACCTAAAAATAAAGCAAAGTATATGATCAAATCATGTGAAATAGCGTCTATCGTCACGCCTAGAAATGCGTTAATTGTGGGGGGGTGCATCTTCATGGCTTGGTTCTAAAATGTTTCCGAAAGTGTCACGCTGCCATTGGATTCTATAAAATCAAACTGCATATTGTACGTATGAACGCAAACAGGAAGTGGAGCAATGTGACATGTTGGCAACTTTCTGAGAATCTTTTTTTTTTTTTTTTTTTTTCAAAAGGTGATTCCCCGCAGTGGCTTTTGGCGTCACCCCCCTGCGGGAATGGGAAAGCAAAGCCGAACCGCTGACTCCGTCATGCAGCCGCGCCCACGTCATCTAATACCAGCACCCAAAGAGATGACTTTGCAGAAAACGCCGAGCCTCCCAAATGTCCCGCTGCATCCATAAAAATACAACTAACCACATCAGCCATAAAAATACGACTCAGGTATGCGTTCACACATACCCGCATGCGCACAGAGGATGACTCCGGCAGATGTTTTAACAGGAAACAGCTGGCACGCGTCTGCTCTGAGGTCCACGTGCTGAAAACGTGTCCGTAAACATGCATGAAAGGTGCGCACTGGGCTATTCTTGACTGCCTCTCTACATATGCCAGATGTGTGTCGACCGCGTAGGAAAGATTTATGACCCCAACGCAGGCGGCACGGCAAGCCAGTGGTGAGCACATCCGCCTCACCGTTCTGAGATTGAATTTTGACTTCTGCGTGTATAGCTTCATGTTTCTCAGCTCGGTATGAGACTGGATTCTTTTCGTTGCACTGTTTTTGCGCTTTCGACGGTCGTTGTTATTCATTTATCGTTTGTTGTTGCGTAAATTATTTTGGCTCCATGCACAGCGCTTTGTATACAGCGGTGGTTGTTTTCAAGCGCTCGAGAAATGAAAATATTCACATTCACAACCACGGACGGACAATTTTGTGTCTTCACTGAAGGACAATAAAACATATTTAGAAATATTAAGGAAAAGCTTGAAAGGTACTGTCAGCAGTGTTGGGCAAGTTATTTCCGAAATGCAATCGATTTCCTTCTACTCGTTACTTGCATATAAAAACAAGGTGTTTATTTACAATATATATATCTGTGGAAAGAGTTATTTCTTACTTTTAAATTCCCGTTTTTTTTTTAAATGGGCGATTAATTGATTCATCAATTCTTTTGACGTTTGAAATTGGCAACCCGATTCGGTCAATGTAACTTGTTATGAGGAGCTTTATAGTGTGGGGGGGGGGCATGATGTTCAATGTTTCGACTCCCTTTGATTAATATTTGTATCAATAACAAGATAGATTGTTCCAACATAAATATTGGGACTGATGTTGGTCCAATGAAAAATCTCAGTCTGTATACCATAAATATTGTCAACGGGCTCCAAATATATGATGCAGATGGGAAAAGTAAGTATTTATTGACAATGCGTGTTTTTTTTTTTTTTTATGTAGCTAAATATAATTGATAAATCGTCCGACAAAAGAGACTTGACAGGTAGATAGATCATATCTAAAAAGCACAGTGACTCTTAATTCTTCAAATTTCTAAATGCTGCTTCATACTTTGCACTTGGCTGATTTATTCCCCATTTGTATTTTGAATGTGTTTTCATTTCCTGCCACGATGCCTGCAGATGGTCTGAAAAACAATCACTTCCCAGCCATGTTATGTGTTGACTTTGGTGTGAAAGTAATGAATGCGATGCGAGTTTCCAAGGAACCAAACTGCAAGTTAACCTACATAATGTCAACCTAATAATATTCCAAAATCATAATGAGTAACTCGTTATATGACGTACTCCGTTATGGCCGGAACTTAATATAAAACTGTACCGTGGTACTTTTGTAACGTTTTGGCCCCAACACCGAGCATACCGGAGGTAAGCGCTGCCTTGAAGAGGTTTCGGATGGAAGGTTTCCCAGGCCTGCTGCGAGGCCCATATGGCTGCTTCCTTAATTCTTGGCAGCACGCCGGCTTGCCCTCCACCGCTCACGATGAGCACTCCACGTGGCCACGCAGACGGCTCGTGTCTTGAGACTGCACGCTGTCCTGTCACCACGAGCACCGCAGACAAACAGATGGCCATCATTCCTCAGTGTGCAAGGTCGTCGATCGATTGCTGCATGCTAACCGTTTCACTGTCTTTTTCCCTTCCGGCTAAGGGCTGTGGTGGCTTCCTGAATGCTGTATTTATCCAAATAAAATATATGATATCCTCGTAGCTGTCCCTCATCCTCATGAACAGGTGACACATTTTCACCCGGGTCCTTCCAATGTTTTGCATCTTGGCCCCATCAGAAAGCGTGTGCAGTCATTAGAAACGGCAGTTGACAGCCGCCGCCGTTCGTGTTCGTATTACGAAGTCGCGCCTCTGCTGCCTGTGGTGTATTCAATGACACTTCGTAAACGAGGCTTCTTTTTTGTGGAGAGTTGCAAAATATATGACGAGCAGTCTTGTCATTTCGACCAGAATGTTTGAGTTAAAATACTATAAGATCACACACGTATATTTTGTGTTCTGATAAGCGTGGAAACAATATTTTGTTGGTCAGTCAGAGCTACGAGGAATGCAGAGTGATAGCTGTCTGTGACTGAATGCCGTTTCACCATTGCTCCCTCCCGCCATTTTGTGTTGCATTGTTACAATAAAAAGAACATCTGTAATCCACCTGAGTGTCAGTCATGTATGAAAGCGACAGCGAGACACACACACACACACACACACACACACACACACACACACACACACACACACACACACACACACACACAAATAGACAAACAC